ATCCAATAAGTTTATTCTTTTTTGAAATTTTTTACCTGTTTTACCTTGAAAATTTGGTTCTGTATGTATTTAATTATATTAAAAAGAAAAGAAAAAATTTAAAATTTATCTTTTCTAAGGTTTTATCATTTAATGATCAACAAATTTGAAAATCGAAAAACAGTTCGATATTCAACAATTATTCAAGATAATCAATATATGAAAGAACTTTTATTATTAAAAGATAAACAAACTACAGACATATCAACATCAACTACTCTAAGATATTTTTATTATTTTTCAAACGCGATCTACAAGGAATGTTGAAGCATAGAAGTAGAAGTTTGGACCTCTCTCTCTCTCTCTTTCCCAATATAATCGTCAGATCCAAGTCAATATCGTTCCAACACTGAGATGCATTAGCACTAGGTGAAATTTCATAAACTGAAACATATTTATTGATTAATCGCTTCTTTTATAATATCAACAGCTTCATCGTGTTTCATATTGTAATTCTGCATTTTTTTTTTCTTTATATTGAGAATCGATCTTCTTTAACAAATACTTTACGTGGTATAACAAATGAAGAAAAACTTAATAATCTTTGGCTTAAAATGCAAATTACTGTTAATTCTATATTTGATAGTTCATTAGATAATCGAAGTGGTGCTCGAGTAGCCAAAGGTATTCGACAAGTATGTTATTGTTTTTATTGTAAAAATTAATTTTATTTTTTGAATAAATAATAAAAGGTTATTGAAAAAAAAGAAGGTTTATTTCGTATGTATATGATGGGTAAACGTGTAAATTATGCTGATCGATCAGTAATATCACCTGATCCATTTATTGCAATTTATGAAGTTGGAATACCTGAAATATTTGCAAAAAAATTAACTTATCCAGAATTAGTTACACCACATAATGTTTATGAATTACGTCAATTAATTCTTAATGGACCAGAGGTTCATCCTGGGTATAATACAAAAGAAAAAACAAAAATTCTTTGATGATATACAATAAAAAAAGATTATTTTAGAGCAAATTTTGTTGAACTTGAAGATGGAACAATTCGTCGTTTATTACCAAATAATTTATCTCAACGAACAGCTGTTGCTAAACTTTTATTAACAAGAGAAAAACAACATAGTGATACAAGTTTGATGTTTACAAAAAAAGTTTATCGACATCTTCGAACCGGTGATTATGTTCTTGTTAATCGTCAGCCAACATTACATCGACCAAGTATACAAGCTCATATGGTAAATTTTTTTTTGTTCTTTGAATGATATTTTAATTGTATTAATTATAGGCTCGAGTATAACCTGGTGAAAAAACCTTAAGATTACATTATGCTCAATGTAAATCATATAATGCTGATTTTGATGGTGATGAAATGAAAATGAATATTCATTTATCACAAAATGAATTAACACGAGCTGAACCTACTGAATTAAGTATATATGGTTTTTTTTTGTCAAGGAAAAAACAAAATTTTGTTTTTTCTATTTTTAGTGATAAATTATCAAGATTTTCTTGTAAGTTAAGATGGAACACCATTAACTGGTCTTATTCAAGATCATGTTCTTGCTGGTAGAACATTAA